AGAGTTGGGGTTAAAAGACATCTTTTCCCCTGCTTTTGTTTTATTTGTTGTTTGGGGGCTACACCTGGCTCTGAGCTCAGGACTAGCCTTGGAAGTGTTCACGGAACTGTGTGTGGTGAAGAGACAAAAGCCCGTTTGGTAGGAAGTGAAGACGTACAGTGACACCCGCACTCTCTGGCCACAAATTAAAATTTCTTGATACACTTTTTTCTTTTTGGGTCACACCCGGCGATGCACAGGGGTTACTCCTGGCTCATGCACTCAGGAGTTACTCCCAGCGGTGCTCAGGGGACCATATGGGATGCTGGGAATTGAACCCGGGTCGGCTGTGTGCAAGGCAAACACCCTACCCGCTGTGCTATTGCTCCAGCCCCGATTTCTTGATACACTTACAGAAGCTAAAGATTGCTTTTTTTTTTTTTGGTTTTGGTGCGTGGGTTTTGGGGTTTTTTTTTGGGGGGGGGGGCAGGAATGCATTCGGTGGTGCTCAGGAGTTATTTCTGGCTCTGTGCTCAGGAATTACTCTTGGTGGGCTTGGGGGTGCTGGGATCGAAGAGGACCAGCAGTGTGCAAGATAAATGCCCTACGTGTTGTACTGGCCCTCTGGCCCCAAACGCTAGCCAGCGTACGCGCACACTCGGTGGGAAGGGAGGACGGTGAGGTAGGGCTGCTGCTCTCACAGGCCCCGGCTCGGGTTCTGCTGCCCCGACTAGGGTTTCCCTCCTGACAGCTGAGTCTGAGCGCAGGACCCGTCAGCTCCATTTTCTCACCAAAATGTTTAAGATGTTTTATCGGAGACAAGACACAGTTCCCGAATGAGAAAAAATTAGCTTGGCAAAAAGAGTACAGGCACCAGGAGAGACACTGTGGGAAAAAGCCCAATTCCAGAGATGCGGGGGGGGGCGTGCACTGCCCAGGTTGAACCCAGGCCCCCATGTGCAAAGCTAGTACACTGGCTCTTCCAACTGTCTTCCGGTCTGCAGTCAACAACTTTTAGGAAGTCTTAGACCTTGGGGCCAGAGCAAGAGCACGGTTGGGAGGGCACTTGCCTTTAACACAGCCAACCTGGGTGTGATCCACAGCACCCGATGTGGTCTCTGAGCCCAGCCAGGAGTGCAGACGCAGGGGTGCAGAGCCAGGATAAAACCCTGAGCATCAGTGGGTGTGACCCCAAAACAAAAAAACAAAAAAATAAAAGTCTTTTACCTCACCCATGAAGAATTATGCTATCGAGAAACAAAGAATACACAGTACTGCCCGGTAACTTAGGTTTCGGACCTCTTTCTTTCTCACTTACTAGTAAAATATTTCCATGGAAGTCCTTGTCTTTGTGTATTTATCAAAGAATACCTCTGTGGAAAAATTTTAAAGCAGCTTTGTTGGGCCCTGAGTAAGGAGGGCACTTGTCTTGCATGCATCTCTGATCCCGGTTTGATCCCCAGCACCACATGGGGTGCTCTGAGCCCTCCAGGAGGGATCCCTGAGCACAGACCCAGGAGTAAGTACTAAGCATCAGTGGGTGTGGCCCCCAAAACTTTTGATTTTTCAAAAAAATAAAAAAATTTAAAGAGAGAGACTGGAGCCATAGGACAGTTGGTTGCCTTGCAAGCAACCAGCCTGGGTTCAATCCTGGCACCCAATATTGTCCCCTGAGCACCACCATGAGTAATTCCTCAGTGCAGAGCCAGGAGCATTGCTGGGTGTGACCCCAAAACAAAACAAATTTTAAAAGGAAAGTAGCTATTTGGGCTGGAGCAATAGCACAGCGGTAGGGCGTTTGCCTTGCATGCAGCCAACATGGCCGACTCGAGTTCGATTCCTCTGCCCCTCTTGGAGAGCCCGGCAAGCTACTGAGAGTATCTCGAACGCACAGCAGAGCCTGGCAAGCTCCCCGTGACGTATTCGATATGCCAAACACAGTAACAACAAGTCTCAAAAATGGAGACGTTACCGGGCCTGCTCGAGCAAATCGATGAACAACGGGAGGACAGTGACAGTGACAGTGACAAAGTAGCTGTTTAATTAGGCCTCTTCAAGTTCTTCACTCTTCATTTCGGCCAATACCAGAGATGGTGTGTCCCCACTTTCCCTCCCCAGTCCCCCCCATACCTCTCTGCTTCTTCCAATAAAAACTTCTATTTTTTAATTTGTTTTTTGTGTCACACCCAGAGGTGCTCAGTTCTTACTCCTGGCTCTGCACTCAAGGGATCACTCCTGGCAGGCTCAGGGGACCATACGGGATGCTGGGGACCAAACCCAGACTGGCCATATGCAAGGCAAGAGCCCTCCCCACTGTTCTATTGCTCTGGTCCCATCTCTAGTTTATTAGAAGCTAACCCTAACCCTAACCCACCACCTGGCCCCCTGGCGCCGTGTAATCCCATCAGCGGCCAAGACTCAGAGATTATAAAATCCAGATCCTGGAACTGCGCGGCTGCATTTGTGGCCGCGCGACATCTTATCAGAACTTTTTTTTTTTATGACATCTTATAGTCTCAATCCTACTTTGGACAAACTTGCAGGCTATCGAATGTAGCCTGCCCACAGGGCAGAGTCTGGCAAACTCCCCGTGGCATACCAAATATGCCAAATACCAGTAACAAGGATGGGTCTCATTCTCCTAAAGAGCCTTAAATATAATCTCAGGGCTAGGATGAAAGAGACGTTACTGGGGCCTGCTTGAGGCAATCGACGGATAACAGGATGATGAAATGAAATGAAATGGAATACGGCTGACCTCCTTTCCTGGTCATTTTCTTACTCCCTGGAGACTTTAGCTCGGTGTACTGTCCCCTCCTCCTACCTGCTCTGTCAGGATTTTCTAGACTTTGATGCTAATGTGGATCATTGAGGGATCATCTCATTCTCCTCGCCCAGACCATTAGCATCCAGGATTCTAACAGAAGCTTCTCATGACCGTATCTCCACCACTCAGAAAATCTTGAATTAAAGGTCTCTTCTTCCAATAACCCCCATTTCTAGGTGAACTTACGGCAAAACCCAACCGCGATAATCCCGGGAGCTCGAGAGCCTGCCTCCCCCATCCCTACCTGCCTCTAACCTGACTATCCAATATCCTTTCTCTGCCAGCTTCTGCTTTACAGCAGCTGAAAGTTCCTGGAGAAAAATCACACAGCCAGGTGCATGGGCTAGATTTGATTTTGTTTCTTTTTGGTTTGGGGCCAGACCAAGGGATGCCCAGGGTTTCCTCCAGGCTCTGCTCTCAGCAGTCACTCTGGGCAGTGCCCGGAGAACTCTAAGTGGTGCCCAGATCCAACAGGGGTTTGTGAGGCTGGAGAGACAGGACATGAGCATGGCTTTTGCCTTGAATGCACCAAGTTGGGTTGGATTCCTGGAACCCCATCTGGTTCCCTGAGCCTTCCAGGAGTGACCCCTAAGTGCAGAATCAGGAGTAAGCCCTGAGCACTGCTGGGAGGGGCGTCCCCCCCCCAAAAAAAAACCTAAACAAACAGGGGTTGACCATATGCAAGATCATAATCCCATACTATCTCTCTGGCCCCAGCTTTCAATTTTTATTTTTGCATTTTTGCAGTGCCAGGAAAAAAACCGAGAGTCTCACGCAAGCAAGTACTCTGTGGCTAAGATATATGCCCCGAGCTACCTAAGATCTTCTTAAAAAGGTGAGTCTTCTGTTTGTTACCAATTACAGGGTTTTGGTTTTATTTTTTCAGTAGGGGATAAAGTGAAAAAAATATACTTCGTAGGTGAAAAATCATCTATGAACTACAAGACACTGTTCTCCTTTCAGATATCCCTTATATTTGTACAACATTCTGCTGAGTGTCTTAGATTACAATTAGCTAAAATAATGAAAGCCTTATCGATGATAACAATTCTCACATCAATTTAATCAACAGGATTCAGTTACATATATCAGACTAAAGCATGTGGCCCTAATGGAAAAAAAATTAAAGAATATAATTTACCAATATCTCGAATGTTTGCATGTTAAAAGTGTCAGGGTCGCCTAGATAAAGTGTTTTAGAACTTTTTTTTTTTAAAGTTACTACCAAAATACTAGATGAAAAGGAACCCTAAATGGTTTCCTTCAATTCATCGCCCTCAAGTTCAGCTTCTCTCCTGCGTAACAAATGGCCTTTGCTAATTAGATCTCAGGTTGTGAGCTGGCCACACTTGACAAAGTCCAGCCCTAACCCAAAATAGTAACAACCTGCTCTCCACAGCAGGCCAGTAGCTGAGCTATTTTTGGCTCAATATTTAAATCCCAAATGCCAGACGCCCTGGGACAGAACCTTAAATGGCTAAGTATCTGATACCGAAGGACTAGCTTCAAGTATCAGAGATGCTCCGAAACTCCTGTTTCCTTTACCCCAAAAGGAATTTTTTGGGGGGCCAGCCCAACAGTAAGGCGGGGAAGGCGCTTGCCTTGCACAAACAGGCGGGGGTTGGATCTCTGGCATCCCATGTGGTCCCTGAGCCCCACTACGCATGATTCCTGAGGGCAGAGACGTGACGAAGCTGAGCACTGCTGGGTATGACCCAAAACACAACAACAAAGCAGAAATTACGCTCTGGGGGCCTTTGGGGATGACCCCGCCTGGCCAGTATGAATCCTGACTTTGGTGCTGCCTATGTGTATGGGTGCGGTCCCTGAGCTACACCGGAAGGGACCCTAAAGGGACTGCCCAGGGGCCAGTGCTGCTGGAGGTGCCATAGGCCTGGGGCCTGCTGGGTGCCCCCTAGAGAGCACAGACTGAGAAGGTGCCAATCACCTCACTAAAAGGATGTGGGGCCCCACAAGGTGCCACTGCCCAGTGCCCCCCCACACCCCACCACCACCACCAACGGGGATGGGGGCTGGGAGAGGAAGGAGATTTTAGGAAAAGCTCTGGGCTTCTGTGTAATTTGATGCATGGAAAACTTGCAGCGTCTGAGCGCAGAATGAGAGGGCTCCGCTCCCAGGCCCCGAAGCCTCACAGCCGTGGTGCTCCAGGGTCACCACGCGTCCCAGAGCTCACCTGTCTCTGAGGGTGCTGGGGCCCAGGTAGGGATACAGGCTCTCCTTCAGCTTCCCTTTGATGAGCTGGTCCAGGGTCTCATGCAGGAGAGGCTGGTGCTGGGTATAGACGTTTTCTACTCCCTAAGAAGGGGGAAATAATTCCAAAGTCATCTGCGGGAAATCTGCAATGCAACACTCGGGCTTAAAAGGTCCACTTCACAGGCCTTTTGTGGGCTCAATTCAAATACAAACTTTAAGGGGGAATTTATTTTATTTTACTATTATTTTTACTGGTGCCCACTCGAGCAAACCGATGAACAGCGGGAGGACAGTGCTACAGTGCTATTACTTTTTGCAGCATCAGGGATCAAACCCAGGAGTCATGTACTGAGGGATATCTTCACTGTTGAGCCCTGTGCCCATCCTAAGAGAATTTTAATTAAATAATTAAAACAGTTATTTTTAGGGACGGGAAAGAGAGCGCAGAGGAGAAGGTGTATATCCTATACACGGTCACCTAGGTTCAACCCCTGAGCACAAAGCCAGGAGTGAGCCCCGAGCACAGAGCCAGGAATGAGCCCCAAGCACAGAGACAGGACTGAGCCCCGAGCACAGAGCCAGAGGTGAGCCCTGAGCAGAGACAGAAGACCTGGCCCAGGTGTGGGCCAAACACAAACAAAAAAATCTTTCATCAACTAGAAATGTACCAAACTCTGAAAAACACTCTAATTAAAGAATAGCTATTATAAAGGATTTTCATTCATGGAATCACTTAAATTCCTTCTGTTTCTCGCAGTCTTTTATGAAAATGATAAATGACAGGAAGGAAAAATACAAGGAAAGGACCAGGTAGAAAAGGAGGCCGAAACACTCAGAAAAACGGGAATAATTCAGGGAAAATAAGAAAGGCTAGAAGATTAAAACTAAGTAGTTTTTTTTTTTTTGATTGTTGTTGTTTAGACATAAAGATCTTATAGTTTGGTTTCTCTGTATTTCCTTCAAGAAAAATGACCTAACAAAACTTAGATTTCATTTATTTATTTGTTTTGAGGTTAGACTCTGCAGTGCTTAGGGCTTATTCCTGGTGGTGCTCGGGGGACCATGTGGGGTGCTGGGGACCGAACCCAGGTCAGCCACGCGCAAGACAAGCACTCTCTCCTGTTGGACTATTTTTCTGACCCCACAAAGCCTGTGTTTTAAGCAAATGCAAAACAGCTATGACAAACAGAACTGTCTGCTTTTGGGCTCCTGAGTGTCTCCTGGAAACAGCCCGTCATTCCCTGCTCTGTGACTGGGAACAGAAAGGCCTCAGAGAAGTGACACCCACATCTGAGGGTATCAGTGGTACCCTGATACCACTTCCAGGGGTAGCAGCTGTAAGAGACTGAGGGGACACAAGCCACTGTCCCCAGCTCCTGCACTGGCCCAGCCCCCGGGCAGGGCTACCGTCTGGAGGCTCAGGGGGATGTCGTCGTTGTACCTTCAGTCCCTTGAGGAACTGCTTGGTGATAGACACGGCGTCCTTAGGGCTGAAGAGGTCGCTTCCTCGGACCCGCTTGCCGCCGTACTCAATGACCGCAGACACGAGCTGCCAGAAGGGGACAAAGAAAGAAGACCCCCTCTTACTGCCGGGGCCAGGGGACTCAGCTCACAAGCAGACCCCGTGGTAGGGAAGCCAGACTGCAGCCCGGCTGGCCCCTGGACCCCGTCACCTTGCGGTACTTGTCGGAGACGCCACGGTTTCTGAGGTCCATCATCAGCCCAGGCAGGCAGCTGCCACTGTGCCGCTCGTAGTGGAGAGCATAAAGCATCACTAAGCGTGCGGCGTCCAGCTCCGACACCTTCGGGTTCAGCAAGAGCCTCTTTATGTTCTGAGGACAGAGAAAGTGGACACTTGACCTGCTTCCCTTGAGTGATGTGGAGGAACTGGGCTTTCACAACAAGTACTATTTTGCTGTTTTTAATTTGGGGGCCACACTCAGTGATGCTCAGGGGTTACTCCTGGCTCTGTGCTCAGGGATCACTCCTGGCAGTGCTAAGAGGACCACAGAGGATGCTGCGGATGGGACCTGGGTCGGCTGTGTGCAAGGCAAATGCCCTCGCCGCTGCGCTGTCGATATGGGCTTCCAGAAGTATCTTTCTCTGAGGCATTCCTAGCTCCTGAGGCAGAATCCTGCCAGCATCACACTGAGGGCTAGCTGGCTTCGAGATCATCTCCCCCCACGTTTCTACGAGGAGCATGGAAAGAGGGAACTTTGCCAACGTGTCCATTGTAAAATGAATGATATTCCTACCGAACTGTTTTCTGCGGGCAGCCCCCGAACGCCGTCAGGTTCCCAGGTTCCCAGACAAAAAGAAAACAAAACCCCAAACTCCAAAGTTCAAAAACACCAAACAGCAGCATTTTCTGCGAGCTGCCGCCGGGGCTCCGAGAGGCTCCTGACTTTCCATCTGTGAAGCCTGAAGTTAGGAAACAGCAGGTACAAACGGAAAGGGAGCAGAAAAACCCCTCTGGGTGAGAGAGCAGAAGGAAGGCGCTGCTACCCCCATGGCGTATTCGTTTGATCAAACTCTGTCTAGGAGAAGCAAACATTTCCAAGACCCTTTTTCCAGACAAATGAAATGGGTGCCGAGAATACAGGTCTGAAGACTGAGCCTACTTCTAGACCAGTGAAGACTTTAACTGTGGTAATAATTTTATTCAGGTTGTTATTACCTTTTTGGGGGTGCGTGTGGTGGTGGTGAGTCTGTTCGGGCCTCAACTGGCAGAGCTCGGGGGCAGCTTCTGGTCTAGTGCTCGGGGATATTCCTGCTGCTGCTCAGGGGCCTGGGAGTTGCTGGGAATCCAACCCAGAGCCTCACGCACGAGGGGCCGGTGCTGGCCCACTGAGTCACAGCCCCACCTACTACTGTTTTTCGTGTTATGATTAACACGCTCTATATAGATTTCTTTTTTCTAGTCTTTTAGTTATTTAGATTTAAAGTGTTCTATTTTAAATTATTTTTTAGTTTTGGGGCCACACAGTGACTACTCCTACTCTGCACTCAGGGATCACTCCTGGTGGAGCACAGAACAATATGGGATGCCGGGGATCAAATCCGACGGGCTGCGTACAAGGGAAGTGTCTTCACCTGAAGGTGGTCTACCTTTTTTTTTTTTTAGTGTAGGAGTACTGCTATTTATTCAGGCACTGATTAAAGGTAAAGGTAAAGGCCCTCCCGTTGATCATCGATTTGCTCGAGCGGGCCCGGTAACGTCTCCATTGGAGACTTTGTTGTTACTGTGTCTGGCATATCGAATACGTCACGGGGAGCTTGCCAGGCTCTGCCGTGCGGGCACTGATTAGGCTGATTGAATTGTGCATGAACTCCAGCTTACGGTTTTTGAAGGTGGTCTACTTTTATCTAACTTTCCTCTTTTTCTCTAGTCCATGGCTTGGCAGAATGTCCCAAAAGACATGAAGGCAAACACACGTACGCAAAACTCAGAGCCAGATAGATGGCACAAGGATTAACATGGTAGAGGGCAACCTGGTTTGAATCCCAGCACCCCATCTGATCCCCAGAGGACTGTCAGGAGTCACTCTGAGCACAGAGCCAGGAAAAGCCCCTGAGAACTGCTGAATGAGAACCCAGCTCAGACTCGAACCCCAGTTGGCTATGTGCCAGGTAAGCTGTGTGTAATGCAAGTGTCCCCTGTTGCTTTTTTTTTTTTCTTTTTAGGTCACACCCAGAAATGCTCTGGGGTTACTCCTGGCTCTGCACTCAGGAATCACTCCGGTGCTTGGGGGACCATATGGGATGCTGTGGATTGAACCTGGGTCAGCCACGTGCACGGCAAATGCCCTATTCACTGTACTATAGCTCTGGTCCCTGAAACCAAGTTTTTGTTGTTGTTGTTTTTGCTTTTTGGGTCACACCCGGAGCTGCACAGGGGTCACTCCTGGCTCATGCACTCAGGAATTACTCCTGGCAGTGCTTGGGGGACCAGATGGGATGCTGGGGATCGAACCCGGGTTGGCCGTGTGCAAGGTAAACACCCCACCCGCTGTGCTATTGCTCCAGCCACAGCCCCCCTTGCTTTTTAATCAAATGAATCATAAATGTCTTTTTGCCATTTAAGTAAATGAATCATAAATGAATCATAGCTGGCCTGGGGACAGTCCTTGGCTGTGACATGAACCCGCAGCGTCTACTTCTTTGCGAATGACCTTCGCCTACACTTTGACCCTTGATTGTTTTTCTATTTCTGCTCCTTGAGATTCATGGGTGCGCTGGGATTCAGTGTCCCCGGCTGGCTTGACTCAGACTTGACTCAGATCTGACTCAAGGTCACTTGGAAAGGACTCTGCTGACTGAGCCCTGAGAACCTCAGCCAGACTCTGGCAGTGGCAAGCTCGGCCCCTCAGGAGAGCCTGAGTGAGCGCCTGCTTCTCTCTGGACTCTAGACGTCCTCAGGGAAACAGCCTTATCTGTCAGCCTGCATGCCACGTTACCTTCTGACTTCATTTTGAACCATTCCCCTCATGGAAACCTGAATCAGTATCTGAGAATTTCAGGGTAACAGAAGAGGAGAAAAAGGATCTGGGAGACGTTATTTTTTCTTTAAAAAAAAATTTTTTTTTTTTTTAATGTTTTGGCTTTTTTGGTCACACCAGCGATGCTCGGCGTTTATTCTTGGCTCTGCACTCCGGAATTCCTCAGCCAGGAATCACTCGTGGAGCTGCTCAGGGGACCATATGGAATGCCTGGGATCAAACCCTGATTGGCCACTTGCAAGGCAAACGCCCTCCTCACTGTACTATCGCTGCAGCCCCGGATCTGGAAGACTTTCATCCTGGCTCTGTGCTCAGGGGTCACTCCTGGAGGTGCTCAGGGGACCATATATGGTGTTGGGGATTGAACCTGGGTCAGAGGCATGCAAAGTCAGCACTTTACATACAATACCGTCTCTCCAGCCCAAGTACAGTTGTTTTTGTTTTTTTTTTACTGATAAAATGGCTGAGTCCTTTTCACATCCAAATTGTCAAAGGTCCAAGGGCTTAGGCATAACTCATGTCCAAGCTTCAAACAGAAGCCTCCTCTGAGAGGAGAGAGCAAAAGAGCTCTGAGCAAGGCCGGACACCTGAGAGACTTGTTCTTTCTCCCAGGGAAGATGCACTGAGAAGACAACAGGAGGGATGAGGGTTTTTTATTGAGGAGAGATATTCTTCTTTGTGGTACAGAAAAGCCAAGTGAGTCTTTTCTGGGCCTATTAGTATAGTACTACACTGCAATTAAATTCCTTCTGAGCCAAACTTTTATTAGTCTTTAGGATAAACTATCAGAAGTGGCCGTTAGAAATATTAAGTTTTAGCAATAAATGAGCTTTTCTCCCTAACAATGGCCTAGTTACCATTCAAAAAAAAGCAAACTGCATCTCTACTCAAAAATTTCGATTCATTACTCTCTGATCTAAGGTCGAGCTGAGGAATGCTGTGACCCATCTAGGGGTCAGGCCGCTGACATCCGAGCGTTAATGAAACAAAATCCCCTTTATTAGACTACTTAAAACATGTCACCAAAGAGATTCTTTATAATAGGAAAGTCCAAATCAACGACTGAGAGTAAAAGTGTAATGGTTTTACTACAGGCAAGAAAATCTTCAAGGGATAATTAAAAAGATATATATGACAAATGAAGGTAATAGTTTCAAACTGTATATTTATTTAGTTAGAGCAAGGAGCAAGCCCTGAGTACCGCTGGGTATGGCCCCCCAAAATAAATAAAAAACCAGGGGCTGGAGCGATAGCACAGCAGGTAGGGCGTTTGCCTTGCACGCAGCCAACCCAGGTTCGAATCCCAGCATCCCATATGGTCCCCTGAGCACCGCCGGGAGTAATTCCTGAGTGCAGAGCCAGGAGTAACCCCTGAGCATCGCCGGGCGTGACCCAAAAAGCAAAAAAAATGAAAAGGGATCATTTAATGAGGAACTTGGCCTTACTAGAGCAATCAAAGGTGAAGGAGGACCTTTCTTTGTCTGTACCATAGAGCAAAAAAATCAGACTTCTAGGATGAGAACCCACGTTTGCCTAGGGCTTCTCTGTCACGTGTGAAGCTGCTGACATCTCTCCCTGAGTCCTCCTAACAATCTAAAAGTTTGAAATGCTGATTCTGAAGTCTTGGGCTGAGTAAGCACTGTCCCTAAGAGAAACTTGGTTTGAGGAGATGGGCACGAGCCACGAGCCTTGCCTCGGACTCTGCTGCTGTTTCCATTATACTTTTTTTTTTTTTTTTGCTTTTTGGGTCACACCTGGCAGTGCACAGGGGTTACTACTGGCTCTGCACTCAGGAGTTACTCCTGGCGGTGCTCAGGGGACCATATGGGACGCTGGGAATCGAACCCGGGTCGGCCGCGTGCAAGGCAAACGCCCTACCCGATCTGCTATCACTCCAGCCCCCATTATACTGTTTTTGCTTTGCTGTATAAAGTCAAGTAAAACTGCAGCAGGGAAAGGGGAGAGACTCTGCTTTAGAATACAGGGTCTTATTAATAGGAAATGTGCTTCTTGACTTAGAATGGCTTCCTGGGGGCCAGAGAGAGGTACAGTGGTAAAGCCACTTGCCTTGCACGCACCGGACCCAGGTTCAATCGCCAGCACCATTTACAGTTCCCCAAACTCTGCCAGGAGTGAACCGTGTGCACAGCGTCAGGAGTGAGCCCTGAGCACTGCTGGGTGTGACCCAACAAACAAGAAACAAAAAATACAAAGAAAGAAAACGGCATATTCCCCCAAATCTCTTGTTCGCAACACGTGTTGTCATTTCTCAGGACTTGTTCTGGCTTTGACTATTAAACTGACTATTATATTGACTGTTACTTGTAGATCTCATCGGTAACCAACATGTTGTTTTCGCCTTTGAAATATCTCTCAGATTTGTCTTTCTGAACATTTTTCCCTTCCCTGAAACTACCAGCTTTCCTGTCTTCATTCTTTTTGACTTCCAAAACATCCTTGCGAGATGAAATACCCTCGAGCACTGCTTTCATCAGCCCTTAGAGTAGGCTCTGCCTCACACAGCAATCCAGATTCCTCTTTTTTTTTTGCTTTTTGGGTCACACCCGGCGATGCACAGGGGTTACTCCTGGCTCTGCACTCAGGAATTACTCCTGGCGGTGCTCAGGGGACCATATGGGATGCTGGGAATCGAACCTGGGTCGGCTGCGTGCAAGGCAAACGCCCTCCCCGCTGTGCTATCGCTCCAGCCCCGAATCCAGATCCCTCTTACACATTTTATAAACTGGTTCCTGTTTATCAATTCAATTTTCTCTCTTATTTCTCTTCCACATCCACTTTTAGAGGTCAAATTGTTTATTATTTCCTGCATATTTCTGCATCCCATTTTTGACTATTATCCCTAGCGATAGCACAGCGGGTAGGGCGTTCGCCTTACACGCGGCCAACATGGCCGACCCGAGTTCGATTCCTCCGCCCCTCTCGGAGAGCCCGGCAAGCTACCGAGAGTATTCGATATGCCAGACACAGTAACAACAAAGTCTCCAATGGAGACGTTACTGGGCCCGCTCGAGCAAATCGACGATCAACGGGAGGGCATTTACCTATCCCTAATGAAAATCCTTCTCCAGATTCTAGTCATCCTTTATGGTGCATCTTAATGTCACCTTATCAAAGAAAACATTCCTCATAAACTCAGTTATCACGATAGCACAGCAGGTAGGGCGTTTGCCTTGCATGTAGCCAACATGGCCGACCTGAGTTCGATTCCTCCGCCCCTCTCGGAGAGCCCGGCAAGCTACCGAGAGTATCTCGCCCGCATGGCAAAGCCTGGCAAGCTCCCCGTGACGTATTCAATATGCCAAACCCAGTAACAACAAAGTCTCACAATAGAGACGTTACTGGGCCCGCTTGAGAAAATCGATGAACAACGGGAGGACAGTGACAGTGACATCGTCAAGTATCACAATTTTTACTCCACTAAATATTATCTTCAATACTGCAAGGGTTTCTTCTCACTTGCTTTGCTATCCCTTCAACTAAACTCTAATTTTTCCCTCTTGCCTTATAGGGTTATGTATTATTTTGGGGGTGCTTGGGGCCACACCCGGTGGTGCACAGGGCTTACTTCTGGCTCTGCACTCAGGAATTATTCCTGGAGGTGCTCCTGGGACCATATGGGATGCCCTGGATTGAGTGCAGGTCAGTTGAGTGCAAGCCCAGTGCCCTAAGAGCTGTAATATTGCTCCGGTCCCTATAATCTATATTCCTTTTTTGTTTGTTTGTTTGTTTTTTGTTTTTTGGGGTGATTTCTGGTGATACTCAGGCCTTACTTCTGGCTCTGCACTCAGGAATCAGTCCTGGTGGTGCTCAGGAAACAATATGGAACGTTGGGGGTCCAGCTTGGAGATATCTGCTGTCCCTATCACTCCAACCCCTGTAATTTGTATTTTTGTCTCAACTTCTTATAAGTCTACAGAGTCTATGTTGGCGAAGCAGGATCCTGTGTCTTTAAATCTCTTGTTCAACCTGGCACTGTGCCTTCTACGTTAGCTGCCCATCTCATGAGACTTAAGAGATACCTGGAGGGCACTGGAGTGGTCATTCTGACAGGCCAGCTCTTGCTCGACTTCCGACACCTCCAGCAGGCTCCGGTCACTGACCAGCCGAGACAGCTCCCCGACGACGGTCACGTGCTTTGACACAGTCCCAGACATCTTCTTGAACTGCGGGTAATTCTCAACAAAGGCCTGTCACGGGGATCATCAACAGGACACAGGGATTCTGTTAATTCTGAGGAAGGTCAGGCAAGTGTGATGCAGAACACTGGGGCAGAGGGAGGGATTAGTGAATTGTTCATATCCCCGGAGAAAGGTGGTACAACTTTTCATCACTTGGCTATTTTTTTTTTTTTTTTTGCTCTTTGGGTCACATCAGGCAATGCCCAGGGGTTACTCCTAGTTCTGCACTCAGGAATTACTCCTGGCGGTGCTTGGGGGACCATATGAGATGTCAGGAATTGAACCTAGGTTGACTGCATGCAAGGCAAATACCCTACCTCCTGTGCTATCGCTCCAGCCCTAACGTGGCATTTTGTTACACTTAAAAAGAGAAAAACTGGTACAGTATATGGAGTCTCTTTTCTTGTTTATTTTTTGGGCCATACTTGGCTAGCTCAGGGCTTTAACTCTGGCTCTTATCTCAGGGATTGCTCCTGGCCAGGGACTGGGGAACCCAACAGGGTCCAGGGGGTTGGTCCCAGGTGAAATGCATTAAAAAGAATGAAAAACAAGACCATTACTCCTGTTCTATCTCTCCAATCCAACAGTCTTTTTTTTTTTTTCTCTTGAGTCACACCCAGCGATGCTCAGGGGTTATTCCTGGCTCTGTGCTCAGGAATTACTCCTGGCAGTGCTTGGGGGACCATATGGGACGCCGGGGATTGAACCTGGGTCAGCTGCACGCAAGACAAAGGCCCTACCCACCGTACTCCGGCCCCCAACCCAATACAGTCTTAAGAGTGTCGAAATATCACTAAAGAATGAAAAGAAGCACATGGTTTCTTATGAAATTTTCACTAGGATGTTTGCTAAGAGAACTATCACGGAACATAATCTCAAATCAAACAGAATGAACGGAGGGGAAGACCCAGAGTATCCCAGAGATGTCGCCTGCATGAACAGACCCAAAGTCTTGCACATTTTGTACCTGTTATATACGTTAGTCACTCATGCACACGTTCAATTTACCTTCATGTCTGCTATTGACTCTAGCTTCTGCTGTTCTTTTGGTTTCCGCTTCTGGAAGTCCTCCATGAGATTCTTTATGTTGCTACCAATCTCTGCAAAGTTCAGGTACATGTTCTGTGAAAAAGGAAGTGACGTAGATACATCATCAGCCTAATACATCATTAGCCTAACTTGCACACAATTTCCAAGAGAAGAATTCTGAACGTGGTCAGAAGGAAAGGGCACGAAAATTCCATTACGATTACCAAATCTGGACAGCGGCCAGAATGTGAGGAATGAATGCCATCATTATTCCCACAATGGGCTACAAAAGAGGGCTCATGATTTTTAAAGTAGGGAAAAAAAAGTGCTAGCAGGTCAGCACCCTAGCCTTCTGCTTCCACGAGGCACCCGGCATGCAGACTGCCTTTTTCAATCGATCCTTGGTCCACACGAAATCCCAGACCTGCTCTCACCCTGACAAGTCAATCCTGACCTTTGTAGGGAAAAGAGAAAAACTGAAAGGCAGTGTGAGAAAATGTTAACCACTTACGTTAGCATAGAATTCATCGTTCTCAGCAGACAGGACCACCTCTCGGAGGTCTTTACTGATCCCCGGCACTCGGGAAAGGTCGATTCGATTGTTGTTAATCCCCAGGAGTTCATGAACCATGGCCTGGTAGGTCCACTAAATAAAGGTCGGTGACAAAAAACAATTGGTAACTGACAAAAAACCAAAATGGTAAATGTTCACAAAAGCAAAGACCGAAAGCAGACCTAGTAGCTAGTCCTCTTGACGTGGAGGTTCTCCATTTTCATTCCATTTCCCCCCATATTTTAGGAATACTTTATACTAAGCACCCAGCTTGTTATTGTAGTTGGTGAAACAGTCACATGTCAAAATACTTTAGATTTCATACCTTTGTAGAAAGGGCAGGAAGACTGGTATTCTGAACATAAAGAAAACAATTTAGACCTATCACTAGCTCTGGCTTTTGCCTCTGAAATGAGTATATTTTGGGACCTATTGGCACTGCAGTTTCAAGTCGCACCATTTCCTGCACGCTTCTGTGGTTTTTCTACACCACGAGGGTGTGCTTGCTGATCTGAGAGGCGCTATATTTACCCTGAGAACCCTAATAATAACAGAAAAAAAGTCCCATGAGTCAATGAAAACACACATAGTTCAGAAGCTTGCCTCTGAATCCGTTTCATTTTATATTTTATTTAATGTGAGTGATGTATTCGATATGCCAAACACAGTAACAACAAGTCTCACGATGGAGACGTTACTGGGCCCGCTTGAGCAAATCGATGAATAACGGGAGGACCGTTACCATGACCGTTGAGGATTATTTTCTAGCCTGACAAATCGGGGACTTATTTAATAAAGCCGGAAAGGGAAAACCTCCAAGTTTGATCTTCTCACCACTGACAGAGAGAGATACAGTTGATCATGGGTTCATAAGAAGAAACAGTATTTCCCACCAAATTACAACTAAACCTAGAATTTAAGTAACCAGACATATTTATATATGTATATTTCATTTTTAGCAATCTAGATCTAAGAGGTTATACAAGCTGCTTTCTTTCCTAAAACAGTAGCCAACTGAAGAGGGTCTGGAAAGATAGTACAGTGAGTGAGGTTGTAAGCAAGGCTTGCCTTGCACACAGCTGCCAGGGTTCGATCCTGGGCAACCCAGATAGTCCCCTGAGCCCTACCAAGAGTGAACCCTGAGTGCAGAGCCAAAAATAAGCCCTGAGTAATGCCGGATGTGGCCCCCAAGCAAACAAACAAAATATTTGCCAAAGAATACTTGAAAAAAACAAAACAAAACACAATACCTCATTACTTCATTAGGACATTTAAAATAAAGAAGAAAGAAAGAAAGAAAGAAAAGAAAAGGAACAATAAAATAAGGAACAAGAGAATTCTGATGCTTCCGCAGACAGGCACGTGCTTCAGTCCTGCCCTCACTCACTCAGTGGCTTGAGGGCTTTTCCTTCCCTCCCAGAGGCCCCAGAGAGACAACACATCTTTTAACCTCTTATCCGAAGTGATTAATAAATAGCAGATCCGAAGTGGATTCTATTGAATGAATGGTTGCTTTTCTTTGGGAAATAAGAGTCACTGGCAATTCTTATTTCTGCTTCTTGATATTATCCAGCATTTCTTCGTAAACAAAAGCTACTTTCAACTTTGGAAACAGGGAGTTATCTTACACAGAAGCTGCATGTCACAGCCACAGGTTGGGGAAACCTAAAATAGGGAACGTACTTTTCCCTACAAATCCAGAAGCACACTATCAGCAGCTGCCATTTGCAAGAGCACAGGAGAACACAGGTGAGACAGCAAGGGCTGAAGGATGAATGACACAGGGGGTCAGGAAATAATCACCCTGGCAGTGGGACTGGCAGTGGGACAGTTAATCCCTGTAACAACTATATTACGAACAATTTGGCAAACCATGGGGATATAAAAGAAATATTAAATTAAAAAACAAATCCCAGCACTCTGGCAATGGTCTGAACATGAACAAAATGTCAGGAAACCATGGTGCATGAATGCAGAGCCATGAGCTAGAGTTTTTCTAGGATATCGGACCCGGATTATGAAGGTTCTTCCTGAAGTATGAACTTCGGGAGTTTTTACTTAAACCTGGATGGAAATAGGAACCCATAAGGGTTTTTAAGCCAGGCATCAAAGGCTCAGAGCACAAGCGTGGGGAAAAGCAGTTTGACAGCACATGTCTGGAAAAATGCAGTCATGGAAAGAAATTTCAAAGTGGGGGATCGAGCAGATGACCCTAGCGGTATTCCCACAAAGAGACCAGGGGACGAAGTAACGGACGTGATGCTGGGAAAGATGAGACAGGACCTGGAAAAGCAGAATCCCAGCCGGAGGTTGGGGAGCCTGGCAGAGGGGGCAGGGGGAGGAGCAGAAGGAGGAGGCAGAGATGACACAGGCTGGGAGGAGAGTGACACCGAAACACCTGGAAGCGGAGGTTCAAGCAAGAATGACTGAGCACGGAGGCCGCGAGCTCTGGTGGCCAGCCCGACTCCGACAGGCTCTACCTGGTTCAGCAGCGGAGTGATGGCATCGTCGCAGCGGTCCAAAATGAGCAGCAGCGGAGGGACTTCCGTCCGGCGGAACTCAAACAATTCGTATTCTTTCGTTATCACTTGCTGAAGGGAGAGAGGCAGTTTGGTCACCCAATTAATCAGTTGCAGGTAGATTTCATTTACATAGAAAAACATAAAAAGGAGATTAGAGAAATAAATAGAAAAAAATTTAAAGTGCGTTTAGCAATAACAGCATTTTGTATCTTCATAGACTTCCCACGCAAGGATTTAAAAGCACAAAAGCAAACAAGGGTTTAAGGGGCCGGAACAGCAGTACAGCTGGGAGGGCATCTGCCTTGCATGCAGCCATCCAGGTTCAATCCCTGGAACCCCAGGTGGTCTCCTGTTCACCACCAGGAGCACCCCCTGAGTGCACAGCCAGGAATAACCCCTGAGCATCACCATGTACGGCTCTAAAACCAAAGATACTAAACATAAACAAAGAAGACCTCTACAAAATTCCAGGCCAGAGCTAGCAGAGTAGAGCTTGTGCCTTGCACCAGGCCGACCTAACCAAGGTCGACTTCCGGCTCCCCACATGGTCCCCTGATCCCTGCCGGGAGTCATTCCTGAGTGCAAAGCCTGGAGAAACCCCTCAGCACTGCTGGATATGACTCAAAGCCAAACAAAAAACAAGCATTACAAAATTTGATCACATTTTATTCGAAGATGAGGACTTAAAACTCCATTTTACAAACGGTTTAACCAGAGCGAAGTAGATGGTACAGACTTCTTGGTTTAAACCTAAGAATCTTCGCTCCATTGGTTGCTTTTGATTTGAATTACAAATACCAGTTTGCCAGTAAACCTAATCCACCATCTCCATAAAGAAAGTATCTGTCTACTTTTTGAGATTCTAAGGAAATGAATGTCAAAGGCCATGTGCACCCTTCCCTCTGGGACTGTGGGTTGGCGTGTGGTACCTTGACACACTCAGCAAGTCTCTTGGCCGCATCTGAGGAAAGCTGGTAGCGGATCATGGGGCATTTCTTCAGAGACAGAAGAAGAGCCGTCAGGCCCTGTGTCGTCCTGGACAGCTGGGCTGGATCCCAATTTCGACCCTTAACAAAACATTTATTCAGAGAAGACACTTAGAAGTTCCTCTTACAAAAGTTTTGCTTCGATGAACTAGCTCCCACCTGAAAAGCCCCGTCTAACCATACCTGGCAGCAGCCCAGAATATTGAGGGAAAACAAGTGTGGGTTCACTGCAATGTAATCGCCGTAAAATTCCTGCAAAAAACACCAAGATCAGTCAATCCATGAACTTCAGTTGTGCCAAGTAAGAGGTTTTCTTTTTTCAAAAACATATTTATTTACTTTATTTATTTATTGCTTCTTGGGTCACACCCAGAGATGCTCAGGGGTTACTCCTGGCTCTGCACTCAGGAATTACTCCTGGCGGTGCTCGGGAGACCATATGAGATGCTGGGAATTGAACCCAGGTCGGCCGCCGTGCAAGGCAAACGCCCTACCTGCTCTGCTATCGCTCTAGCCCGATACTTATTTATTTATTTATTTGGCTTTTTGGGTCATACCCCGCCTCTGGAATTAGTCAGGAATTAGTCCTGCCGGTGCTCAGAGGACCATATGGGATGCCGGGGACCGAACCCCAAACGGTCTCCCTGTTGTGCTATATATAGCTCCAGCCCCATCAAGTGAGAGTTTTATCTGCTATGCCACTCTATGATGTCATCAACATAAGGAAATACAGGTAGGAAATATTAACAATTTACACCTGAGCAACAATGGCCAATGTGGGAGAATTTTTAAAAATTATGGAAGAGTAAAAATAAATCTTTTTGTGAACCGAAAAGGTAATAAAGCTATACACTTATCTCTGGAGAACTCTATGCATGCTTACTATTTAGTAAAAATAAAACACTAGGGGCTGGAGCAATAGCACAGCGGGTGGGGCGCTTGCCTTGCACTCGGCCGACCCAGGTTCGATTCCCAACATCCCATATGGTCCCCTGAGCACCCCCAGGGGTGATTCCTGACTTCAGAGCCAGGAGTAACCCCTGTGTATCACCAGGTGTGACCCCAAAAGAAAAAAAAAGTAATAAAATAAATAAATGTTAAAAAATAAAAATAAAAAAAAAAAACATTAACAGAATATATAATGTTACACCCATCAAAAAAAACCTTTGTGGTGTATTTTCATGAGAGAGGATGTGATTTAAAAGAGGCTATTCATGGGGCTGGAGTGACAGCACAGCAGGTAGAGCGTTTGCCTTGCACATGGCAGATCCGGGTTCAATTCCCAGAATCCCAGCATCGATTCCCAGGTCCCCTGAGCACCGCCAGGATTAATTCCTGAGTGCATGAGCCAGGAGTAACCCCTGTGCATCGCCGGGTGTGACCCAAAAAGCACTGCACTGCACTGCACTGTCCTCCTGTTGTTCATTGATTTGCTCGAGTGGGCCAGTAACGTCTCCATTGTGAGACTTGTTACTGTGTTTGGCATATCGAATACGTCATGGGTAGCTTGCCAGGCTCTGTCATGCGGGCGAGATACTCTCAGTAGCTTGCTGGGCTCTCCGAGAGGGGCAGAGCCAAAAAAAAAAAAGAGAGGTTATTCATGCCACCAGACCCCGCACCAGGCCGTTTCATTTGTGGCAATCCAGAGCGGATGGACGAGGCCCCTCCCTGCCCCAACGGAGCCTGCCCCAGCAGCCGGAAACCTCCAGAACTCAACCGAGCCATGTTCACTGCCACTCTCCACACGTTCCGACCAGCCGCACCCATGAGTCAATCTATTCCTGGGCTGCATGGCTGCAAATCATCTCATAGTTTACACCACGAATATACCAAGAGTAGCACACCACATTTGATTGTTGACTGGGTTTAAAGCAAAAGGCAATTAATCTTAGGGGGAAATACATTTATACAGATATAGATATAAGCTACCCCTGATGTACTGGATATGCCAAACATAGTAACAGGTCTCACAATGGAGACGTTACTGGGTCCGCTCGCGCAAATCAGTGAACAATGGGAGGACAGTGCTACAGTGTGGATATAAGCACGTAAGGCTCAACCTTTAACAACATGTTAAACTAATTACTAATCTCTTATAGAAGGGCTTTATGGCTCCTGGGTGAAATTCAACAATCTTCACACACTCTCCTCTAAAACATCCTTTTGGTCTCATTTTGAATGGATTATTCATAACAAGCAATGTAAAATAAATTATTTCAGTTCTGCTTTGGGGGCAGGATTTGAAGTTCAGGATGGAAATAAAATGACAGGAAGGGGTAACGGTGGTGGGGTTGGTGTTTGAATATTAAATGTAATCAAATATTGTGAACAACTTTATCAAAATAAAATAAAAAATATTTTAAAAATTAAAAGAAGCTATTTAAAAAATTAATACCTAGCTTATCCTTCTAGATTTTTATTTTATTTTTTGGGGGGCTATACCTGGCAGTGCTCAGGGGTCAATATATGATGAGGGTGTCCGACCTAGGTCAGCTGTGTGTAAGGCAAGCACCCTACCTGTTGTGCTATCTCTCTGGCCTCAGCTTCTAAAAATTTTATTTTTCTGTTTGGGTCACATCCAGCGATGCTCAGGGACCACTCCTGGCTCTGCACTCAGAAACTACTCCTGGTAGTGCTTGGGGGACCATATCGGATGCTGGGGATTGAGCCCGGGTTGGCCACCTGCAAGTCAAACGCCTGAACCGATGCACTATGACTCCAGCTCTAAAATTTTAAAATATTTCTTTTTTTAATTAATTAATTTATTTGTTATAGACATTCAACATACCAACATCAATCCCACTACCGCTGCACCTTCTCACCACCATTATCTCCAATTTTCCCAACCCCCCATTAAGTCTGTCCCCAAAGCAGGCCCTCTATAACTTATTTCTCTGCTGTACCTGAATACACTATTCTTTACTTAGCTGATAAACACGTTCAAACATCTGTGATAAATGTACTCAAGAATCCTAAAGTGTTTAAAAAGAAAAAGACAGGGGTGACAGTCCAATGCGAATTAGAATTAGAATTAGAATTAGAATTAGAATTCCATCTGTCTTGCATGTGGCTGACCTGGGTTTGATCTCTGGCATCCCATATGGTCCTCAGAGCACCACCAGGAGTAATTCCTGAATGCAAAGTCAGGAGTAACCCCTGAGCACTGCAGGATGTGGCCCCAAAACAAAACCAAAAAAAAAAAAAAAGGAAAGAAAAAGGCAATAATACATTCTAATATAGTTTTTATGCAGCAATTAGAGGACAAAGGAAGAGTCCACGGAATAAACCGTGAGCCCAGGCAGGACCAGGAAAGACCCCTGATCACCACCTGATGCACCCCCCACCAATTATATAAATGCAGAGTATTTTATTTCAAATTTTGGCCATGACAAAGATCTGTTTATTACTTCATGGTAAAGATAACCACTAAAGAACTTGAAAAACCCTCATTCACATCTTTTTTTGTTTAGTTTTTGGGGCCACACCTGGCCGTCCTCCGGGGTTCCTCCTGACTCTGTGCTCAGGAATCACTCCTGGTGGGGTTCAGGGGTCTGCATGGGATGCTGGGGACTGAAACCAGGTTGGCTGCATGCGAAGCAGGTGCCCGCCCCGCTGTGCCATCTCTCCGCCCTCTTGTTCTCATCTACTATTTCTTATTATTCCCAAGCAGGCATAGTCCACGGAGACATAATCCACCAATGCTCATAGTGTGGCATGAGACTCTGGCTTCAGCCTGGAAAACGCTGCCACCAACCCGGACCGGCGCAGGCTCTGCTCCCATGACGCCTTCCATTCTGTTCCCACCCACCCCCATCCTCTCTGAGCTCAGCGTGTCCCACTGCCCGGTACGGATGCAGTGGCCTCCTTTCTCTTGTGCACTCCCTTACTTTGGGTCTTGGCTAGTTAAAAGGTTCAGAGACAGGTCGGAAGACCAACGTGCTCACCTGGACTTCGGCCACGACTTCCTGCTCATCAGCTTCAGCTAAGGACTTCACGTCGCTCTTGCTGATCACATTACTGAAATCTGAAACAGATACACAAGAGCCGTGGTGGACCCAAAGGGCATTTTCTGTGCCGCCGTCAGACATAGAAATGGGCTGACAACAAAAGCCCGAGGAGTCAATTACACTAAATATCTATTGTAACACACATACAAAAGGAACACCTTCTAATTCCAAAGAATAACACATAAGTTTGAATCCATAAGTGTGTGTGTGTGTGTGTGTGTGTGTGTGTGTGTGTGTGTGTGTGGCGGGGAGTGCTGTTTGAGGAGCAGAGAACAAGGGATTCTTATATATTACTGGTATGAATGTAAGTTGGCTCACTCTCCATGAAAATTAGTAAGGGCATTTCTCAAAATTATAGAAATAGATCTACTTTGCGATCTAGTAACTCCACCCCTAAGTATCTAGCCAGAGAACACACAAACACTAATCTGAACAGATCTATGTACTATTTCTATGTCGAGATCGGACTCGTCTTCTGCTACAAATGAATGGAACTGGGGGGAGTCAGGCTACGCAGAGGAAGTCCTGAGGAGAAAGGAAAGCGCCATCTGACCTCACTCACACACGGGATCCAAGAAACAGCAGAGGAAAAGGCAAAACCCAAGGAAACCAGCCCTCAGGTGGAGACAGAATGGAAGAGAGACTGAAAGGCGGCTGGCCAGGGCCTGATGGGGACCCTGGCACCGGGGGCAGGTACGAAGCACTAGACATCTAAAACACACACATGTGCAAAGCCTAATTATTACGTTTTTTAGAGAGGGGAATGCAAAAACAAATTTGAATTAAGAATTTATGATTCTACTAATCAAAGCAGATAGAGTGTTAACTAGAATTCATCTGCCTCACAGGGACGGGGAGGGGTGGGGGGTGGGGCTTTATTGGGGTTCTTCATGGTAAAAAATAAGTATTGGTAAAGGGAAATGTGTTTGATATTTGCATGACTGAGACATAAACCTGAAGGCTTTGTAACCTTTCCCACAGTGATTCAATAAATAAATAAAAATAAATAAATAAATAAATAAAAACAAGAATTTATGATTCTACTCCAAAAGAACCACAATTTTAGGCGTTGAATGATGCCAGGGAAGGGCATCTGAAGGTGCCTTCTTTTAAAAGAGGAAGAAAAAAGCTTTTGTCCTTTTCTACAGAAGCTATATAACTTTTATATACAAACTGTATACCACCTAACAAAATCAGAAATGAGGGACTATTTCTTTCTGCTTGGTTTTTTGGGCCTCGCCTGGAAATGCTCAGGGGTTATTCCTGGCTTTATACCCAGGGGTCACTTCTGGCAGGCCTGAGGGACCATATGAGATGAGAGGGATGGACCCAGGTCAGCTGCATACAAGGCAAGTGCCCTCCCCATTGTACTATTGCTATGACCAAGGGACTCATTCACCCACCTACTCTCCCTTCCTTTCCTTTCCTTTTTTTTTTTTTTTGCTTTTTGGGTCACACCCGGCGATGCACATGGGTTACTCCTGGCTCTGCACTCAGGAGTTACTCCTGGCGGTGCTCAGGGGACCACATGGGATGCTGGGAATCGAACCTGTGTCGGTCATGTTGGCTGCGTGCAAGGCAAACGCCCTACCCGCTGTGCTATCACTCCAACCCTGTAAGGGATTATTTCTTCTCACAGAAATAATCCAGGAACCATAATGATGGAATCAGAACATCAGCATTTTTTTTCAAGTCCCAATTAATCAATGGAAGCACAAAACACTTCCTAGGAAGTATCCTACGAGTAAGAATTATTAGAATCCAAATCTAATTAAATCACGTACCTTTTTTTTTTCCTTTTGGAGGGGGCACACCCAGGGATGCTCAGGGGTTACTCCTGGCTCTGCAGTCTGGAATCACTCCTGGTGGAGGTCATGGGACCACAAGGTGCTGGCGACTGAGGCAAGAGCCCTCCCCACTGTATTATTACTCCAGACCTCTGCTTGGTGTTTTGTGTGTTTGCTTCATTCTGTTATGGGGCACATCTGGTGGTGCACAGGGGTTATTCCTCGCTATGGGTTCTGGAATCACTCCTGGTGGGACTCAGCGGAACACACCAGGTTCTGGGGATCAAATTCAGATCGACCACATTCAAGGCACGTGCCCTACCTGTTTAACTATCATTTTGGCCCCAGGTCAGCTTATTTTTTTGCTAAAAGAATAAAGAAGCTTACGTTAGCAGGGCTTTAGAAGACCGAAAATATATATAATAAAGTACTGGACAACGAAATAAGTGACAGAAGCTTATAAACATACAAACACACCAAGCAGAGGGCTTGAGTGATAGTACGCTGGGGAGGGCACCGACCTCAATTTGCCAATTCCATGCTAATACCAATGGTTCCACAGCTTCTGTGATCCGCTGCCTAATGACCAGGAGACAGTGCTCTGAGCATGTCCTATCAACCCACCTACTGTAGCTCAGTGAAAAACGCCCCTCGCCCTTATGTTAAAGTTTACTATAGAAAGGGACAGGTCTCCGCCTTCCTCTGGAATCCTGTTTAAGAAAACCCTCCCGTGGTCTAGGGGCTTCCCTGCCTGATAGTCTCCTCCTTGATGGAAAAATTTAAAAACTTGAGAGAGAGAGAGAGAGAGAGAGAGAGAGAGAGAGAGAGAGAGAGAGAGAGAGAGAGAGACTGCCATTGAGGTGGGGGTTAGGGGTGCGGGAGGGAAGCTGGGGACACTGGTGGTGGGAAATGGACACTGGTGAAGGGAGGGTGTTAGAACATTATATGACTGAAACCCAATCACGAACGACTTTGTAACTGTATCTCACTGTAACTCAATTGAACAAAGACACACAACTTCCTTTATTAAAAAAAAAAATCTTTTCTGAATCTGAAGAAAACAAATTGATCTATAAACGTAGAATGAATAAACCATATAGAAACTCATTTTAGCTTAATTTGATCAAATGAAATTGTGAAACCGATTGCTCCAAGAAATTTAAGTATATTTGTTTTAGGCTTTTTGTTGCTAACTAATACATATATATTTTTATCTCCTGCTTCTTAGACTTACATCCTAGATGAAACAATCTTTAGAATAGAAGAGTAAATACTAGACCTAGGTTTATTGATTTTTATTAATTTCAAACTTTTCATCCAAGAACTATTTTTAAAGGAAGGAATCTTTCATTTCGTAACCTATAATATTTTGGGGGTACAAAACTCAGAAAAAGAAAGATCCTAAGGGCTGGAGCAATAATTCAGCAGAAAGAGCACTTGCGCTGCACATGGTCAACGTGGGTTCCGTCCCCAGAACCCCATATGGTTCCCCGAGTCCTTCCAGGGGTGATCCTGAGTGCAGAGCCAGGAATAAGCTCTAAGTACAGCCCCTCCCCCCCCAAAAAAAAAGCAAAAAAGAAAGTAAACGGAAAGAATGATCCTTAAATTTAAAGAATGACCCACTTAAATTTGGTGGTAGATACGTTAAGTGTATATATATATTTATACATATATATGTGTGTGTATATATATATACGTATATGCATGCATCTATCTGAGTGCAGAAATGTCTACATTTTTTCAAGGAATCTAAATTATACTCAGACTAAAAAAATACTAGAGTGATTACAAACTTGCATCACCATGACAGACAAAAAATAGTTTTAAAAATATTACTCATGAATACATAAAGAAACTGGATCAACAGGATATAAAACAGTATAGTCACTCTAGAATGCATAGAACGATTTTTTAAAATATACAACTCACAAGTAGAGTATGATCCAGAAATTATACTGGGAATTATTTTATTTATTTGTTTACATTTCAATTATTTTCTTACCTTTTTTAAAGTTGAATCATCATGAGACAGAGCATTACAAAATTGTTTCTGACTGCATTTCAGTCATGCGATGTTCTAACATCCGTCCCTTCACCAGTGTGATTTCCTAGCACCAATGTCTCCAGCTTCCCCCCTACCACTTTAAGCCACCCCGACCCCCACCCCAGCCTGCCTCTATGGTTGGCACCTCTCCTCTCTCTCTCTCTCTGCATTATGGTTTGCAATACAGAGCTGGGCATTATTACAGAGACACAAAGACCAATGCTCTTATGAAAACCTGTATCACGGTCCTCCCGTTATTCATCGATTTGCTCGAGCGGGCCCAGTAACATCTCCATCGTGAGACTTGTTGTTACTGTGTTTGGCATATTGAGTACGTCACGGGCAACCTGTATATGAATATTTTCACAGCTTTTTTTGCAGAAGTCAAAACTGGAAACAACTCAAATATCCTCCAGTGGCTGAACAGCTGAATAAAATGTATATCCATGCCACGAATTAAAAAGAAATGAGTAATACATATAGCAGCCTAAACGAATCTCTTTACGCTTCATGAAAACAGTCAATCCCAGAGACTACGACTCCATTTATAGAATAGTCTTGGGATGACACAGTTCTAGAAGTGGGAAATGTACTGTTGGGGCTGTGCAGGGCTAAAGAGGGGTTGGGTTGAAGAGAAGTGGACAGAGCTACCAAGGGCAGCATGTAGGACCCGTAAGGAGATGGAAGTATTATGTATTTTGACTGCTGTAGTGACAACATCATGGATCTGATATTATACTGTGTTTATGTGAGATTCTACAGAGGAAAGGAATGGGAGCTATCTACAAAACCATATACGAAGCTAAAATTTTATCAAATAAGTTTTTAAAAAGTTAACCTGTGACTATTAGTGAGGAAGAAAATACAGGGATGATGGGCTGGGGATGGAGTCCAGTGCCAGTTTGCCACGTGTGTGCTGCCCTGGGCTCAATCCCCAGGACCACACACGCACACTGTGGGGTGGAAGGGTGGGGGACCCAAAAACTATCTAAGAACCACAGAAGCTAATAAAATTGTCTATTTCACCTCTGGATGGCTCCGTGCTCAGGAATGATCCCTGGCCAGTGCTCAGTGGAACTCTATGACACTGAAGTCAGGCCAGCCAAGAGCAAGGCAAGTATCTTACCTCCTGTGCTCTCTCTCTCTGGCCCTAAAGTTCTTATGGAATTAAAATTTAAAAAATTATGTCAAGCATTAAATGTCGGTACCACTGCCAAACTAAGAATGCTGAGACTGCATACGCTAAGCTTGCAGGTCAGACCACACTTCCCTAAAGCTCCTAAGTCTTCAAGGATGTTTGGAAACTCCTCCAATGGCTGGGAACACAGCTCCGAGGAAAGCCCAGGCTGCCTCTGCATGAGGTCTTGGGTTTGGCCACGGGCACCACACACATACACAAACCTCCCCGACGTCTAAGACTCCCTGCTGGGCACTAAGCTTTGTCTTTGGTTTGAATAGAAACTAATTCTATAAAGACCAACAGTGACCTCTAGAGGTGAACAGCTGTAACTTCTAAAGCATAATGTGTCAAATTATTTCTTTTTAAATCCTCATTAAGATGCAAGAGGCAGGAAGAAGCAAGAAGATACCAGTTCCCTGCCTCAGAACTAGCCTTGACCAAAATATGGTAACATCTAACATCTGACCACCTTAGGTTTCAACAACTTGTCATAGTTTATTTTGCCGGCTTATCGATCAACTGCAGACGTGTGCGCATGTACATGTGGTTTTTAGTCAGTTCATTGTCTGTCTGTCTGTGTGGAACAGTTTGTGCTGGAACCAGGTTGAAATCAGAAGTAGGAATTCTAGAGAAGTCAGTGAGTGATATGCAACCTAGGGATTTAAGAAGTGTAGTTGTTTCTGGAACTTGCTAGACAAGGTTTAAACGAAGATTTCTTATCAGAAAGTTACCTACAGAGAAAGCAGAATTCTCAATCTAAATTTCTTATTGGAAGAACATTAATGGTTATTAACAGTTGTAATTCTTTTGAACTTAAGAATCTATACTGTCCAGGAAGAGCTGTGGAATTAGAGCCTAAAACTAAAGTGAAATAAGAGTTTAGAGAAAGCAAGAACTTATCTTACAAGCCTCAGCTAACATTTATGAAAAATTTGTAAGAGGCAGTTTCCCTTTTCTCACAGAACCTAGCTCCCAGAACCGCGCGGCCGCATTTGCAGCCACGCAACATCTTATTATGACATCTTATTATCTCATTCCTACTTTGGACAAACTGGCAGGCTACCGAATGTAGCCTGCCCACACGGCAGAGTCTGGCAAACTCCCCGTGGCGTACCCAATATGCCAAATCCCAGTAACAATGATGGGTCTCATTCTCCAAAAGAGCCTTGAATATAATCTCAGGGCTAGGATGAAAGAGACGTTACTGGGGCCTGCTCGAGGCAATCGACGAATAACAGGATGGTCGTGATCGTGATTCGTGAAATCCTCATTGATTTCTTGGTGAATTTAACAAATGCTTCATATCTCTGGGATATTAACCCTTTGTCAGATGAGACAAATATTCTCTCCCAGTCTTTGGGGTACTTTTTAAAATCCTGGTGATGGTTTATTTTGCTATGAAGAAGTTTTTTGGTTTGATGTAATCCTATTTGTTTATCTTTGCTTCTATTTGGTAGAGGAACAAAGGCATGCGGTCCCGGGGCTCAGATCTCCAAGCCTACTCAGATCCGGGCTGAGCATCCTCCACCCAGATCCTCCAAATTCCAGTAGGCCGGGGGTCACACCCACCAACTGGCCCCCTGGAGCCGTGTAATCCCATCAACGGCCAAGACTCAGAGACTATAAAACCCAGCTCCTGGAAGCGCGTGGCCGCAACATCTTATTATCTCATTCCTACTTTGGACAAACTGGCAGGCTACCGAATGTAACCTGCCCACATGGCAGAGTCTGGCAAACTCCGTGGCGTATCCAATATGCCAAATACCAGTAACAATGATGGGTCTCATTCTCCTAACCCTGGAAGAGCCTTGAATATGGCACTTTTTAAAAAAAATCTCAGGGCTGGAACGAAGGAGACGTTACTGGGCCCTGCTCAAGGCAATCGACGAATAACAGGATGGTTGTGGTCGTGGTCTATTTGGTTGGCCACTGGGCTGGATCACTGAAGATGCCACTAGATGTAATGTCATAAGGGGTTCTGTTTTCCTCAATACAAATTATAGACTTATACAGAAAATTTATAGTCTGATACAGAAAGCAACCAACCCATCATCAAGTAGGAAGAGATAAAAAGAAACTTCCTCAAAGTAGACATACAGGTAGGCACTTGTCACTGTCCTCCTGTTGATCATCAATTTGCTCAAGCGGGCCCAGTAACACTGTGAGACTTGTTACTGTGTTTGGCACATCGAATATGTCACAAGTGTATTAAAAAATGCTCTGTATCCGTTACCATCAGGGAAACGAAATCAGAACAATAAGATACTATTCACACCAGAGAAATGGCCCTCATCAGAGAGTACAAAAACACCAGTGCTTGTGTGATATGTGGAAAGAGACTCATTCATGCTGAATACTTAGACCGGTCCAACATTTTGGAAAATAATTTGGATATTCCTCAAACGTAACTCGGCATTGTGGGGCTGGAGAGATAGCACAGCAGGCTGGGCGTTTGTCTTGCAAGTGACCGACTCAGGTTCGATCCCTGGCATCCCATATGGTCCCCCAAGCACTGCCAGGAGTGATTCCTGGGTGCAGAGCCAGGAGTAACCCCTAAGCACTGCCAGGTGTGGCCCCCAGATAAAACAAAACAAAACAAACTAGGAATTGATTTTTCCTATGCCTCAGTGATTCCAGTTCTGGGCAAATACTCCAAGGGCCCAAAACTCTATTACGGAAAGGCCTCTCCACTCCCGTGTACACTTAACACCGTTCATAATAGCCCGAATCTGGACACAACCCCGTGCTCAAGAACAGGTGATGGATAGAGAAACTACAGTACCCATGCGCAATGGAACACACTCAGCTGCAAAGGAAAGAAAAGGCCACACACTCTGGTTGGAGCCAGAGGGTGACATCAGTCCGAGGGAGAGGGAGGACACAGAATCCCTCTCATGTGCGGGATAGGAAGCAGCACAGCAAGGGGATAACCAACGGCCAAAGGTAACGGAACCTGAGACCTGGTCTAGGGAACTGAGCTGACCGTCGTGGGGAGAGAGCGGGGCCCTCGAGGGGACTGTCTTGGGGTAGGTAGGCTGTTGGGTCCCGGCACACATGAAACCCTATCATCGACAGACTGGAACGCACAGTGCAGTGCCTACGTTAAAGATTTTAAACATCCCTATTGAGGGATGGAGAGTTGGCACAGTGGTTAGGCACTTGCCTTGCACATGGTTGCCCTGGGTTCGAGCTATTATGCTGAGCCCCGCCAGGACCGATCCCTGAGTGCAGAGCCAGGAGTAAGCCCTGAGCACAGCCAAGTAGGGCTCAAAAGCAAAATAAGACCATCTTTATTGAACACATAATAACCCCAAACCTAGTTTATTTCCAGGATTCTTTCCTTTACCCTCCCCTAAAAAAAAAAAAAAAGATATTTACCTAGTAACTCATTCCTTCCAATAATACAGAAAATAGCAAAGAGAGCAGGATGTTTTTATCTGTCATGTAAAATAAATTTCTGCTTTTATAACAAACTCAGATACAACCTCCCACCAAATATGAAAATCAGCTTCTGTGCCCAAGTTATTTGAGAACAAAATAGGAATTAGCAAGGATATCTTCCTTCTTTCTTTCTATCATGTAAAATTTGGCAACTTAAAATTTTTGTTTGTTTTGGGGCCATAACTGGTGATGCCCTGGCTCTACACTCAGGGGTCACTCTGGTTGGACTCAGGGGAACGTGGGGTGCTAGTGATCAAACCAGGGTCGTCGGCAGCATGCAAGGCAGGCACACTCCCTGACTGCCGTGCTATTCAATTTTTTTGGCTTACAAAGAATCCTGAAAGGCCTAAAAGACTTAAAAAAAAAAAAATTGAACAATTATTATGAATAAAAATCAAATTTAGCTCTGTCACACTGAAAAAGGTCATGACTTTTATTTGTCTTTGAGGCCCTTGGAGACAGTTCAAAGAGCACAGTGAGAGGCCCAGGACTCAACCAGGCCACCAAGCTGCAGATTGTCCCTCTAACAATTCCTGACCCCTGGCCCAGAAACCAAAGAACTGGATTTATACAGGTGACAGGTTCCATGAACTCACGGATGACATCCAATGGAGTGCACTTGCTAAAATGTTGTCATATGATGAAGCAGTGAAATTGTGTACTTACAAATAAAGTATATACTGTACTTGGGTCTTCGGAGTTCCTGAATCAAATAATTGATATTTTCCTAGAAAATTAAGAACAAACAAAATATGAAAGATCTTTAAAGAGAAAAGTGATAAATATCATTCATTCATTTCTGTGAGCCTGTTTCTGGGCCACACCCAGCAATGCTCAGGGCTTCCTCACCGCTCTGCATTCTAGGACTCACTCCTGGTGGGCTCAGGGACCACACGGAATGTGGGGGGTCGAACCTGGGTCAGCCATGTGCAAGAGCCCTCCCCACGGCTCGCTCTCCAGCCCTTCTGTAAGTAGAGACTCGACTGGTTCGAGATTAACTGTTATGTCTACGGAGGGTCGGCGGTGAGGGCTGGGGATAAGAAACACATTAAATTAAATGATCTGGAATCACATATAACTCACCGTGCTATTTTGGACAAATTTAGATTAAAAACATGAAGGACACAGATGTTGAACAGAAGATAAAATTGAAACTTTCCTCAAGGTGCTAGTATATTAATTTGAGCATATAAAAATCCAAATGGGCTGGAGCGATAGCACAGCGGGTAGGGCGTTTGCCTTGCACGCAGCCAACATAGCCGACCCGAGTTCGATTCCTCCGCCCCTCTCGAAGAGCCTGACTTGCCAAGAGTATCTCGCCCGCACGGAAAAGCCTGGCAAGCTCCCTGTGGCATATTCGATGTGCCAAACACAGTACCAACTGTCACAATGGAGACGTTACTGGGTCCACTAGAACAAATCGATGAACGACGGGAGGACAGTGACAGTGACAGTGAAAAATCCAATGTGTCCCATCACTTTTATTCATCTCCCCCATAATATGCCAGGCAAGAATAAACAAGTCAAGTGAGAGGCCAGAGAACAGCAGGGAGAGCACCTGCCTTGCACGCCCAGAGCCAACCCCCAGCATCCCAGATGGTCCCCCAGGCACTGCCAGGAGGAATTTCTGAGTGCAGAGCCAGGAGGAACCCCTGAGCACTGCTAGTGCCCACATCGGTCTTGGCACAGCACTGTGTGGTAAGCTGAGGAACACCTCCAAAAACCCAACCCCCTGCTACACCCAGGATCCAGAGACTCTAAAACCAAGCTCCCGGAAGCATTTGCAGCCGTGCGATCTCTTATTCTCTAGTTCTCACTCAGAGAACCTGGCAGACTACTGAGAGTATCTTACCCGCCTGTATGCCTGACTAGGAACACCTGTAGAGGTGATTAGAGGCTGCCCCAAAAGCCTCCATCCGTCTCGGAGAGCCCAGCAAGCTACCGAGAGCATCCTGCCCGCACGGCAGAGCCTGGCAAGCTACCCGTGGCGTACTCAATATGTCAAAATCAGTAACAATGAGTGGTCCCCATTCCCCTGACCCTGAAGGAGCCCTCAGTATGTCATCGGGCTACACTTGCACGTGGCAGGGACGAATGGAGACGTTACTGGGCCCGCTCGAGCGAATTGATGAACAACGAGGTGATAGGATAGTGATATATGGTAAGAGAGAAAGAGTGACAGAGAGAGGGAGAGAGAGAAAGGGAGAGAAAGGGAGAAAGGAGAGTTAAATATATACAGAGAGAGAGAGTTTTATATATGAGAGCGCTACTTTTTATTTTTTCCTTTTTGGGTCGCACCCAGCGGGTGTACTCTTCTGGCTCTGCACTCAGGAATTACTCCTGGCGAACCCTATGGGACGCTGGGAATCGAACCCGGGTCGGCCGCGTGCAAGGCAAACGCCCTACCTGCTGTGCTATCGCTCCAGCCCCGAGAGCGCTACTTTTTAAAGAATCTTAGATGCTGGATTAGTCCCTGTTCCCCAGTGTGGCAGCTACCACCCCACCCCCTAAATCCCCTGAATGACAGCTGGGTGCGGTTGGGGTGGGATGGGGCGCTTTCCCTTTGCTCTCTGAAAGAAAGTACACAGGGGACAGTGAGTGATCTTTACCGCAAAGACGGAGTGAGGCCAGGTGAGTCCACACCTCTGTGTGAGGTGGCCCCTCAATCCCTGCAGAGTCAGGAGCTACAGGACTACTGGTTACTCACGATGGGGCAGGCACTGATGACCAACCACAAGACAAAACAGATGCGGACTGCCCTCCTGGCATAATCAATAAATCAAATAAAAATTCAACCACGACACGCAGCAGGGAGAGGAAGGGGATGCTGCGGGTGGGGGAAGGGAGGGAGGGCTGAGCTGCTCTGGGAGGCCAGAGAATTTGTTCCAGGCAGAGAAGAGTCTGTGCAAAGGTTCTGCAGCACAACGGAATACGGCAGACTAAGCAACTTGATCGCCAAAATCAAAAGGACGTGGTCCGAAAAGAAGCTGTTGGAGTGGTAGGAATAGGTCACACACAGTTTTGCAGGCCCCAATTGAGGCAGCGTCTTTATCGTAAAGGTAAAGAGAATTCGTTCATGTTCAAGTGGGGACGACAGGATCATGATTATATTTTGAAAGGCTTATTATGTACAAGCACCGCAGAGAGAGCACTGGAGTTGAAGAACATAAAACCTAAAGCAAAAAGAGGGCACAAAGGAAGGACCAGGGAGAGAGCTCGAAGGACAGAACTCAGCTCTGCAGGTATCTGTCCCGGGTTCGATCCTGACACTAGCACTACGCAACCAGCTGACATCACCCCCAAAACCCAAAAACCCCAAATCAGATGAGATGCTAAGAAAGGCTAAAGGAGGTTAGAGCTGAGATAGATTTAGCAGATTAAAAATGGAATCGGATCAATGTAGAGAAGAGTTAAGTAGAGATCATCTGCCTCACAGGCACTGGGAGGGGTGGGAGGAAGGGTATACTGGGGTTCTTGGTGGTGAAAAATGAGTACTGGTGAAGGGAAATAACCGAGACGTAAACCCGAAAGCTTAGTAACTTTTCCCACAGTGATTCAGTAAATAAATATAAGAAGAAAAAAAATAAAGAAAATTAAGAAAAAAAAATAAGGTGGAGTTCATGCCCCATTCAATCAGCTAATCAGTGGCTGAATAAATAGCAGCACTCCTACATAAAAAAAAAAAAAAATCGAATTGGCCAGGGTGGTGGCTGGGCGGCAGAGCATTTGCCTGGCGGGTGTGAGGCCCAGACTGGATCTCCAGAACTGCCCAAAAGGAAAATGACAATGAATGAAAGAGCCTTTAATGAGGGGAACAGAGCAACCAGAACGGGATGGACACGGAAAGGCCGGGAAGGGGCGGAGGAGGGACAGAGGGAGCCGGGCGCCACGTTCAGACCCCGTCAACGATAGGCAGGAGGGTTAATGAATGTTGGTTTCATCACAGAAGGAGGACTCAAGTACTACAGATATGAACAGAGGCCCTAAGCCATGGATAACCCGGCTCATTCTCTCCTGGAGGTTAACCTCGTCTTTCCTGGGTGAGGGTGCAGGGATCCTCGGCATATCCCCCTCTGGAGAGGCCCAAGTCCTCTCTGGATAGACTCCCTCCCTCCCTCCCTCCCTCTCTCTCCCCCCTTCACCTCTCTCTACCCCTCCCGCTCTGTAAAATACTCTAAATAAAACGATTTTACTTCCAAAAAACAAAAGAGCTCAGTGTGATGATATATGCGGAGAGTAACCCAGGAGAAAACACTGCGGGTGTCTGGAGTAGTCCTTGGTGATGGGACAGAGGCAGGAAAGAGCAAGTGGAGCTGGGGGAGGAGGGAACGGGCTGTCTGTCCAGCTGTGTAACCGCGCAGACCAGGCATGACCGATGAAGGTGATACACACTGGTCTTCTGGCCCAGGGGCTGTGCGGGGTCACCCCGCCCGGAACCTCACCCGTGGGAGCCTCATGTTCTGTCCTCTAGCTGGGAGTTTCCGTCTGTGGGTCCCCGCACGGCTGGGAAGCCAGGCTCGGCTCATGTCATACCTTTGTGGGGCGAATAAAGCAGATGGCTTTCAGATGCTTCATGACCTCTCTGTTCCCTGCATCGAGGCGTTCAAAAAGGTAGACCTCTTTCTGCAGGATCTCCGACTGCGTGTAGACCATGCTCACGATGCCGGTCTGCAAAGGGGCGAGAACGGGCTGCTGTGCCGGATGGAATGACAGAGCCTGTGGCACTGCCTCCCACCCACGTTTCTAGGTATGATGCTCGTCCCTTGAATACTAACCTATGGGACAACATCGACAGAGCATCCGAAATCTGGAGATAACGTGCAGAATGAAACATACGCCCTTTGAACACGAGCGGTGCCCACAAAATGTCCCCATCACCTTACGGCCTCTTACAAAATGTAAATACTGTGCCCTGCAGCCTGCCAGGTGCTCCACAGCCCCAATAGTTCCGCTTTTGCACTACCAGCCCGCAACCCCCAGGCCCAGCCCTCAGCCCCCAGGACCAGCCCGCATCCCCCAGGCCCAGCCCTCTGCCCCCAGGACCAGCCCTCAGCCCCCAGGACTAGCTCGCATCCCCAGGACCACCCCCTGCCACCTCCTGCATCCCCGAGGACCTCATCCCCCCAGGACCAGCCCGCATCCCCCAGGACCAGCCCTCAGCCCCCAGGACCCCCCCCCCCAATCCCCCAGGACCACCCCGCATCCCCCAGGGCCAGCCCTCATCCCACAGGACCCCGTCACATCCTCCAGGACACCCCCTCATCCCCCAGGACCCCCCATCCCCCAGGACCAACCCTCATCCCCCCAGGACCAACCCTCATCCCCAGGATCACCCCCTGCATCCCCCAGGCCCAGCCCTCATCCCCCAGGACCCCATCGCATTCTCCAGGACACCCCCTTATCCCCCAGGACCCCCCATCCCTCAGGACCACCCCTCATCCCCCCAGGACCTCCCCACATCCCCAGGATCACCCCCTGCATCCCCCAGGACCAGCCCTCAGCCCCCAGGACCAGCCCTCAGCCCCCAGGACTAGCTCGCATCCCCAGGACCACCCCCTGCCACCCCCTGCGTCCCCGAGGCCCAGCCCTCATCCCCCAGGACCCCCCCCAATCCCCCAGGACCAGCCCTCATCCCCCAGGACCACCCCTCATCCCCCCAGGACCAGCCCGCATCCCCCAGGACCACCCCGCATCCCCCCAGAACGCCCCATCCCCCAGGACCACCCCGCATCCCCCAGACCCAGCCCTCAGGCCCCAGGACACCCCCTCATCCCCCAGAACCCCCTCACCCCCCAGGACCAGCCCTCATCCCCCAGGACCACCTCCCCATCCCCCAGGCCCATCCCTCAGCCCCCAGGACCTCCCCGCATCCCCCAGGACACCCCCTAATCCCCTAGGACCACCCCGCATCCCCGAGGATCACCCTCTGCATCCCCAGGCCCAGCCCTCATCCCCCAGGACCACCCCTCATCCCCCCAGGACCACCCCTCATCCCCAGGATCACCCCCTGCATCCCCCAGGCCCAGCCCTCATCTCCCAGGACCCCGTCGCATCCTCCAGGACACCCCCTCATCCCCCAGGACCCCCCATCCCCCAGGACCACCCCTCATCCCCAGGATCACCCCCTGCATCCCCCAGGCCCAGCCCTCATCTCCCAGGACCCCGTCGCATCCTCCAGGACACCCCCTCATCCCCCAGAACCCCCCATCCCCCAGGACCACCCCTCATCCCCAGGATCACCCCCTGCATCCCCCAGGCCCAGCCCTCAGCCCCCAGGACCAGCCCTCAGCCCCCAGGACTAGCTCGCATCCCCAGGACCACCCCCTGCCACCCCCTGCATCCCCGAGGCCCAGCCCTCATCCCCCAGGACCCCCCCCAATCCCCCAGGACCACCCCGCATCCCCCAGGACCACCCCTCATCCCCCCAGGACCACCCCACATCCCCAGGATCACCCCCTGCATCCCTCAGGCCTAGCCCTCATCCCCCAGGACCCCGTCGCATCCTCCAGGACACCCCCTCATCCCCCGGGACCCCCCCATCCCCCAGGACCGCCCCGCATCCCCCAGGCCCACCCCGCATCCCCCCAGGCCCGCCCCGCATCCCCCAGGCGCACGCTGGCCACGCAACTCCGGACCCGAGCAGCCCGCTCCGGGGCCAAGACGCCCTCCAGGGCAGCGTCCAGGGCCCCAAGCCGAGAGCCGCGCCCGCGCGGACAGCGCCGGCCCCGGCCAACCCACCGTCTCCTTGTCCATCAGGAGGACCTTCATGCCCGGGCCGCTGTCCTCGATCATCTTGGAGACGTACTGCTTGACGGCGAAGACCACGTTCATGGCGGCGCACGGACCAGCGGGTCGCGCAGCCCCTCACGCCCCCTTTTCGGGCTCAATTAGCTCCGGGCCTGCGCCGAGCCCCCGCGACTTCCGCTCGGCCGGACGCAACTTCCGGTCCCCGCGCAGAGGCTTCTGGGAGTTGTAGTTCCCGGCGCGCGCGGCTCTGGGCTCTGGCTGGACTCGGCGCACTGGGCGGAGCCCTCGGACCGAGGCGGGCGTCGTCCTGCCCCGCAGCTCCGGAGCCCGGGGGTCCCGAGCGCCCCCCGCCCTGCATCCCCCAGGACCCCCCATCCCCCAGGACACTCCGTCATCCCCCAGGACCACCCCTCATCCCCAGGATCACCCCCTGCATCCCCCAGGCCCAGCCCTCATCCCCCAGGACCCCCTCGCATCCTCCAGGACACCCCCTCATCTCCCCCAGGACCCCCCATCCCCCATGACCACCCCTCATCCCCAGGATCACCCCCTGCATCCCCCAGGCCCAGCCCTCATCCCCCAGGACCCCGTCGCATCCTCCAGGACAACCCTCATCCCCCAGGACCCCCCATCCCCCAGGACCACCCCTCATCCCCAGGATCACCCCCTGCATCCCCCAGGCCCAGCCCTCATCCCTCAGGACCCCGTCGCATCCTCCAGGACACCCCCTCATCTCCCCCAGGACCCCCCATCCCCCAGGCCCACCCCGCATCCTCCAGGACCACCCCGCATCGCATCCCCCCCAAGACCACCTCCATCCCCCAGGATCACCCCTCATCCCCCAGGACCACCCCACATCCCCAGGACCACCCCCTGCATCCCCCAGGCCCAGCCCTCATCCCCCAGGACCCCCTCGCATCCTCCAGGACACCCCTTCATCACTGAAGGGTGATGAAGGGTGGTCCTGGGGGATGGGGGGGTCCTAGGGGGTGAGGGGCGGGGGGCGCTCGGGGCTGCTGCATAGGGGCCGAGGCTCGGCCCGGAGCCCCACCGGGTCACCAACGAGGCACAGTGGGACTGGAATCTGGGTTTCGGAGATTCAGGAGCCCAGGCCTCGGTGCGCGGACACACCGTTGCGGAATGAATGGACAGGGGAACGCCCCTTGACCTTGCTGTCCAGGAGGGCCCGGGCTGGGACCAGTCGGCCACCTGCGGGCCTGACGGGCGCCCGTCCCAGCGCGCCGGTATCAGCACCTTGGAATTTGCCAGCAGGAGTTGGCACGGTCAGAAGCAGAAAAAAGGGGGCCGGGCCGGGGTCCAGCGGGGAGGCGCTGGCCTTACGCGCAGCTGACCCGAGCTCAGTCCCTGACCTCACATAAGGTTCCCCGAGCCTCGCCACGAGTCATCCTTGAGTACAGAGCCAGGGGAAGCCCCAAGCATCGTCAAGTCTGTCTAAAAAAAAAAAAAAAAAAAAACCCATAAAAAAGGGTAAAAAGAAATGGCAAAGGGATCAGGGCCCCAGCAAGAGGAAAGCAAAAGCAAAACTCCTCTAAGTTTTTTTTTTTTTTTTGCCTTTTTGGGTCGCACCCAGCAATGCTCAGGGGTCAGTCCTAGCTCTGCACTCAGGAATTACTCCTGGCGGTGCTTGGGGGACCATATGGGATGCTGGGGATCGAACCGGGGTCGGCCGCGTGCAAGGCAAACGCCCGACCCGCTGTGCTATCTCTCCAGCCCAAAACTCCTCTAAGTTCTGATTCACGGACACACATACATTTGGCAACCAAACTCATCCCTGCCTCGGTTTCTAATTGTCTACTCTTGTGTTTATGCCCGACTACTGGCCTCTGCCTTCTTGAAGAGGAGGGTAAATGAGTTTTGCACACCTTTACAACAGTTACAACAAGAAGCACGGGCAAGAAACCAGTGACAATATTTCCACCCAGTGTTGACCATTGATCGTGGTGGTCAATTTAATTTGGAGCGATAGCACAGCGGGTAGGGCGTTTGCCTTGCACGAGGCCGACCTGCCCGACCCAGGTACGATTCCTCCACCTCTCTCCGAGAGCCCGGCAACCTACCAAGAGTATCTCACCCACACCGCAAAGCTTGGCAAGCTACCTGTGACATATTCAATATGCCATACACAGTAACAAGTGTCACAATGGAGACGTTACTGGGCCTGCTCAAGTAAATCAATGAACTGCGGGAGGACAGTGACAGTGACAATGACCAAGTCAACGATTTCAGATACTGTAAGAGGTGTGCTGTTGAAATCAGAAGGGTGGGTGGGGGCTGGAGCCACAGTACTGTGGGTAGGCAGTACTGTCGCTCCAGCCCCCGCCCACCCAGGGCATCCATATGGTCCCCTGAGCACCGCACTGCCAGGACTGATTCCTGAATGCAGAGCCAGGAGTAACCCCTGAGCATTGCCAGGTGTGACCCAAAGAAGCCAAAGGGGAAAACAAATCAGAAGGGGGCAGTGGTGCTGAGCCCCATACAGCAGTGACTCAGTCTTCCCCTGTTCAATCCCAAATGGTCCTCTGAGCCCTGGCAGGAGTGATCTCTGAGTGCAAACGTAGGAGTAAGCCCCGAGCACCACCAGGTGTGGTTCAGGCATCAGAAGCGGCCTTGCGTGCAGTGGATGCTGTTCACTATAGTGTGTAATGGATGTCAGGAGCACTGTCTGTTGTGGCTCCTAGGCCCAGAGCCAGAAATAGCCCCTAGGTCCACCTGGTGTAAATCTTTAGGCCCCAAAACCCACCTCCAAAAATAATTTTATCAGACTCAGAACATCTTCACATTACTCTTGTTTTCTCATTCCTACTTTGGACAAACTGGCAGGCTACCGAATGTAGCCTGCCCACACGGCAGAGTCTGGCAAACTCCCCGTGGCGTACCCAATATGCCAAAGACCAGTAACAATGATGGGTCTCATTCTCCTAACTCTGAAAGAGCCTTGAATATGGCACGTTTTTAAAAATCTCAGGGCTGGGACGAAGGAGATGTTACTGGGGCCTTCTCAAGGCAATCGACGAATAACAGGATGGTCGTGATCGTGATCCTGATCGTTAGGATTACTTTGTAAAACATTCAATGGCCACTTAAGGGGAGTAGAAACCACTTGAATTGTCAGAAGGAAGTTAGAGATAGATCACTCCTGGCACCGCCAAGGGTGGCCCCAAATAAAAATAAACAAGATTACGAATAGCTCTGAAATAGTGAAGAATGTTCATTTTCTTTCCTTCTCAGTTTTTCTACGGCGTAAATAAAACTTCCCATTGGGCACAAGTTTCTATTTTTGGGATATGTTTTGAAAAGTATTTAAGACTGACCAATGCTGGATTGGATCAGTAGTAGAGCAGGCAGTGTTGTCAGAGGGGGCCTGAACATGGGACCAGTCTTGGCCTTGTGTAAAGTCCACCTTGGTTCAGTCCTTGGCATCCCATATGGTTCCCTGAACCCACCAGGAGTGACCCCTGGTTACCCCTGAGTGACCACTAGGCATGTCCACCCGTCTGTAAAAAAGACTAGGTATTAGTTGAGTCCAAAAATTTGAGTTCAAATTTTTCATTGCCTGGAAAATGCCACTCAAAATAACCTTGTTACTTCGAATACAATATTGTCACCTGTGACCAAAGATGGAGAAATAGGAAATGAATAGCCAAGCTCAGAGTAACACATTCATTAGAAGCATAAAAGCGGTAGTTGGAGGATGGAGGATGATTCTGCAGATGGCATTCTGGGGAAGAGTTTTTTTTTTCTTTTATGCCTTCCCACCAAGATGGATAATTTTAATTTTTTAAAAATTTAACTTTAGGTGTGGCTGGTTTTTGTTGTTGGGTTTCTTTCTTTTTTTTTTTTTTTTTTGGAGGGGGTGAGGGGAGAGGGCTTGGGGACCATATCGGGCAATGCTCAAGTTACTCCTGGCTCTGCTTGGTGCTTGGGGAACTATATGAGGCGCCAGGGATCGAACCTAAGATGGCAGCATGCAGGGCAAGTGCCCTCCCCACTCGCTGTACTGTGGCTCCAGCCCCAAGTGTGGCTGGTTTAATTTTAGGATCACTCTGCTTGTTCGGCTGAACTGCTTCGCAGGTGCTGTCGTGTGTGTGTGTGTGTGTGTGTGTGTGTGTGTGTGTGTAGGTGTTGTAGTTGCCGACCATCTATCTTCACTCCCATTCCTTCCCATTCCAGTCTTCGCATGATGTTCTCGAGGGTGGCACTGAAGAGTTTCAGTGAAATGGTATCACCCTGCCGCACCCCTCTCTTGACATCAACCATCACTTCTTTGTAGAATGGTGAGATCCTGGTAGTGAATCCGCAATACAGCTCACGGAGGATCCTGATGTATTGGGCTTGAATGCCCTGATTGGCTAGGGCTTCAATGATCGCTTCCGTCTCAACAGAATCAAAGGCCTTCTTTAAATCAACGAACGTTAAACAGAGTGGCATCTTGAACTCCCGAGAAACCTCAATGAGCTTGGTTATCGTGTGGATATGGTCGATGGTGCTGAATCCTTTGCGGAACCCGGCTTGCTCGCATGGTTGTCCTTCATCTAGTGTTCTGCCAATCCTATTCAGGATGACTCGAGTGAACAGCTTGTAGATGCCTGTCATCTACAAGGCAACTAGGCAGTCTCTTGAAACTGCATCCCTGGATGGGGGTACAGAGCGCTTCCTTTCATTTTTCTGGCAATATAACAAATCACAGGACAAAGAGGAGAAGAGGAAAAGAATGAGGTTTTTTTGCTTGGTCGCATCGTGACAACACACTGAAGGGCACTGAAGTAGGGGGCACAGCACGGGACTTGGGGGGCCCTTGTTGCTGGGGACCTTTGAGGTGGATGGCTCTGTTCTAGGTCCTTTGTAGTGGATAGTTCTGTCCTAGGTCCTGTAGACTTTGGTTTGTTTTTGTTTGGGGCCATATCCAGCTGTGCTCAGGCCTTACTCAGGGATCACTTCTGGTGGGTTCAGGGAAACTCTGGGGTGCTGGGGATAGGACCCAGGCCCATTGCATGCAAAGTAAGCACCTTATCCACTATACTATTGCTCCAGCTCCAATAATTATTAATTTACTAATTGTTTTGGTGGCCCTGCTCCCCTTCCAGCCAAGGTTCCAGGTGGCTTTGGGTCCTTTG